CTGGCCCCAATGCAAAATATGTCTGGAGGTCTACCCTAGCTAGCCTAGGTCTATGTGTCTTATAGAGCCTTATTCTTAAAGACCAAAGAAAACTTAGCACAAGATATATTGTTGACTCCCCTCTCTTGAGTTTAGTAATCAAGGATTCCCTTCTACTCTCAACTCTCTGCTGCCCCCAGCAGGCCTTTGACCTTGTTGCCTTTGCCATTTGACCTATCTAACCCAGAGGTGGGCTCCAGAGAGAGAAAGAAGACCTTGTGATCTGAGATTTTGTGTCAAGGCTCTGTGGTTTGAAATTTTGTGTCAAATTATTATTTTTTTTGTCGGTTGTGGGGCTTGAACTCTGGGCCTGGGCACTGTCCCTCAGCTCTTCAGCTCAAGGCAAGCGCTCTACCACTTGAGCCACAGCGCCATTTCCAGTTTTCTGAGAAGTGGAGATAAGAGTCTCATGGCTTTCCTGCCCTGGCTGGCTTTGCACTGTGATCCTCAGATCTCAGCGTCCTTAGTAGCTAGGATTACAGGTGTGAGCCACCAACACCCAGCAGGTCAAATTATTTTTATGTTCTGTCATTAATGTTTGTTCTGGTATTGGGAAGTGCTTTGTTTCTCACTGTCTTTCAATCATTGTAGGCATATTCTATGACCTTTCTTCTTGGCACACCAACTGTCTTTCTTCTGTTTAAAGTCACATGGCTATGAAGTAGGTGCTGTCAGCTGTTTTGGTAAAGACAGAATGGTTTAATTTTGAGCATGTGAAATTTGGAATAAGAGTACTGTGGATTTTAATCCTAATACAAAGGACAACATACAATATAGTAGGCAAACAAAAGTGACTCATAGATGATTTGCAGCACTGATTTTCTTTTCCTTTCTTGTGGAGTCTTTTCACTTTGAGGAAGATAGTCACAGAATCAGTTTTCTTGCTCTAGGAAGTAACAGTCGCTGTGTGGGAGACATTTATAATCTACTTTGTCCTTTTGTTAATCTTCCCTCCATCTTCCTCAGGCTGTAGTCTCTCAGATGCAGGATTAGTCAATAAGGTAGGCAATTATGTTCTCCCATCACTGACTAAAGAGGTCTTCCCTGCCAGCAAGCTCATTTCCTCAGACTGTGAGCTATAACCCTTGTGAAAACTAGGCAGCCTGCCATGCCTTGTTAAATAACACCAGTCCTGAGAGGGCTTCTTGGAATAAGGTTCTAGTTTCTAAACATAATAGTCAAATATTATTAGTAACTATTAGTGACATCACAGTACAAGACAGGACTTGATCTCCTATGCCATCATTTTCCTTTTATTGGCTCAGAGAGGTTGAAGTAACTTGCTCAAGGCCATATAGCTATCAGTGGTCAAAGGTGAGATTCGAAACAAGTTCCACTGGACACAGTTTGTGTTTGTAAGGATTGTGTTCCACTGTCTCTAAAAAGCAAGGGGTTCCAAAAACCAATCAGTGGGTGGACAGCACCTACAGGGCTGTAGATCTTCTTGGGCCTGTGCAAGCATTTGCTTTGCAAATGCTTGGGAGCCCTAGGGGAGACCAAAAAGGACAAATTGAAAGCCAGTTTTAACTGTGACACCATAAAATTAATAATGTCAGATCATAGCCTTTTGTCTGTGGCTGTTCCAGTGTTGATGGATAGGTTACATGTTGAAAGATTGCATCGGTAATTCATACTTTATTACTCTTGAATTGGTGTAATGCTTCAAATCATCTTGTTGTAATTCAACATAATTATCTATAATTAAAAATAAATTCCTGTAGGGTGAGAATATTAATTCCTATCCCAATCCTTTTTCTTTCAATTGTGCCTGTGAACCATTACCCAGCTTTTATGCAATGGTCCTGGGCACTTCTGGTGAGCTAACTTTGCTCTATCTAACATAATTTTACTTTCTGAACCACTGTGTTCTCTCTCTCTCTCTCTCTCTCTCTCTCTCTCTCTCTCTCTCTCTGTGTCTCTCTCTCTCTGTCTCTCTCCCCCCTCTCTCTATCTCTGCCTCTCTCCTCTCTCTCCCTCCCTTTCTCTCTCTCTTAAGCACACACATACACACCAGCATTTCTCTAGCTATTTTGACTTGTTTGATGTTGCTAAAAATATTGGCTTTTGTTTTCTTGATTGGTTGGCTTAATTTCTGATGGGGTCTAGGAAACCTATTCTAGGGGGGGAAAATCACACAGGCTCATGCTCTTACACAGATTGTGAGTGTAATTTTAGGCATGGAATCTAGCACTGGGCTTCTCCCAGGGTGATATCCTCTGGCCCCCAGAAAGAAGGTTCATATTGCTAGAAACTTGTTAGAAAAGCACATCCTTGAGCCCCTTTGAAGGAAAGACTCGTGCTGAGGGTGAGCAATCTGGATTTTTAACTAGACCTCTAAATGATTGGGTATCTGGACGCTTGAAACTTTGGAGGAGTTAGGAATCCTGCCCTAGCAGGATGGTCTTGAGCATTCTGTAATAACTCCAGCCCTTCTGAGAAAAGGATGGGTAAATGGATCCTTTCCAGCTCTGAACCTTTTACTTTCACTGGATGTTAACACCTGCTTCCATTTCAGACCAAGGATCCATTTGCTCCCCTGGGAACAAGGAGGAAACTGCTGGTGTTATCACTTTCCAGGTGCAAGGGTAGAAAACCAGCTGGGGATACCCCAAGGAAATGCTCCCAGATGTCTGGGACTATTGAAGATTCAGGAGGGGATAGGAGTGGTCACATACCTGTACTTCAGTGACTTTCCAGCCCACCTATCCTTGCCCGGGAGTCATCCTTTCCCTTAGGTAAGGGTGCTCTCGCTAGAGGCTCTCATTACCACAAAGCAGACACTGAGTCTGATTCTAGAGATCTCAACTTGTACTTGAACTCTCAAGAGGCCAACTATCAGTCAGTGTTTAAGCTTTTACCAGTAAGAAATTTCATTTCTCAGATAATTTTAATTAGCATTTGGCATTTTAGCTATTTCTCATTTACGTATCTGTCTGCTTATTTTGTTTAGTTATTGTTTTATTTTATTTTGTTGAACCAGTCCTGAGTTTGAACTTAGGACCTGGGCACTATCCCTGTGCTTCTGTCTTTAAGGCTAGTGCTCTTTCCCTTGAGTCACAGCTCTATGTCTGGCTTTGTCATAGTGTATTGGAAATAAGAATCTCAGGGACTTTTCTGCCAGGCTGGCTTTGAATCAGGATCCTCAGATCTCAGCCTCCAGCAACTAGGATTATAATGGCATACATTTTTACATTTTATTATGTGAGATTTATAAAGAAGTTTTCATCTCAGACTGATTCTGTCTCGAGTCAATGTTTGGACACACAGAGTTTTCTGCCCTCATTAGCTGTTGTTGTGTAACCTCCACACGGACCTGCTCTGTGAGTACTTATTTAAAAAAACAAAAACAAAAACCTAAAGTAAAACACTCTATATTTGGCCAAATAAGTAAGTTTTTATTGTATTGAATTTTGAAAGCAGAACACAGAAATCTGGCCTGAGAATTACCAGCGGCAACTTTGCATCCTAATGTGATCATATAGTGGAACTATCTACCCTTTCGTCTCTCCTTCTGCAAAGAGAGGAGTGTCTCGTTTTGTCTGGAAAGTGTGAAGAAAGAAACTCCAGCAACTTGTTTCTGCCTAGACACAAATGTGTTCTGTTTAATCCCTGCTTGTTGTGAAAGATTGTTAGGATGAATACTTAAATGATTACACTGTGTAGCCACAGTGTAACCATGTGGTTGATTTGCTTATTCTTAGGCTGAAGTATTTGGTTTTGTGAAGGGTCTGCTTTGCACTTTACAATCCACCTTTCTTTTCTTTTTCCTTTTCCCTTTTTTTCTTTGTCAGTTGTGGGCCCTGAACTCTGGGCCTATGTGCTCTACCACTTGAACCACAGTGCCACTTCCAGTTTTCTGGTGGTTTATTGGAGATAAGAGTCTCACGGACTTTCCTGCCTGGGCTGGCTTTGAACCATGATCCTCAGATCTCAGCCTCCTGAGTAGCTAGAACTATAGGCATGAGCAACTGGTGGCCCGCTTTTCTTTTTCTTGAGGAAAAAAGATCCTATGCTTGAGACTGTGCTTTTTTTTTTTTTTACAATAGGGCTATTTTCTATTACAAGTTAGCTTGACAGCCTTTATGACGCTCCTGATGGTTCTTTATATCTAAAGGTATGTTATTTTGTGCAAAATTTCTGAATTTTTGTTTTTTGGACCCGTGGCTTGAACTCTGGGCCTGGGCGGTGTCCTTCAGCTCCTCAGCTCGAGGCAGATAATCTACCACATGAGCCACAGCACCACTTTCAGTTTTCTGAGTGGTTTATTGGAGATAAGAGTTTCATGGACTTTTGTGCCCAGGCTGGCTTTGAACTGGGATCCTCAGATCTCAGCCTCCTGAATAGCTAGGAGTACAGGCATGAGCCATCAGTGCCTGGCTGAATTCTTTAATATAAGATCAGAGATGAATATCTTTTATTTATTCAATAAATGTGACATGCAGGTAATACATTAAATGATATATATCATAATTAGTGGAAGCTTTAATCAATTAAAATAACCCAAAACAAAATTTGAACAATAGATCTTATTTATTATCCAATCTGCTATTCTTCTTTTGATTGGAGAATTGAGTACATTAATATTTAGGTTTATTATAGAGAAATGTGTCATGTTTCTTGCCATTTTCTTAATTTCCTATATATTTTTTTCCTTTTCTTGTGTTTACTAAATTGATCTTCTAGTGATTTTTGTCTGATGTGGTTCTTTGATTTTTGACTGTTTTCTTCAGATTGTATTCCTCCCTTTAGAATTCTTTGTAATGCTGATTTAGTGATCATGAATTCTTCTAATTTTTGTTTGTCATGGAAAATTTTGGATCCACCCTCTAATGTAAATGATACTTTTGCTGTGTAGATCAGTTGGGTTGGTAATTGTTGATCTTCAGTGCTTAGAGTATACCATTCCAGGTTCTCCTTGTGTGGAGAGGTCTGCAGTGATTCTGATTTTCTTTCCATTTTAATATAGCTCCTTCTTTAATTTTGTGGGTTTTAAAGTCAGTTCCTTGCTATTCATGTCTGATGTTTGTACTATGATGTGTCTAAAAGTGCTTCTTCTTGGATCCAGTATACTGGGGGTTCTATATGCTTATGTTAAGCAGGTGAGATTTTCTCTCTTGAGAGTGGTGAGATGGTGCACATATGAGGGAATCTAGGAGGAGGGCACAGAATCAGAGGGAAACTGGTGAGAAAACGGAGCAGAGGGGCCCGTCAGCTGCACTGGACATTGATTAAAGTGAACTAAGCAACTCAAGGGCAGCGATGGGAGGGAGGGAATGAGAGAGAAAGAGGGAACAGCCTACACTAAGCAAATGGAAAGAAATATACATATCACCCTCTTTGGAAGAAATAGTTGTATTGTCAAAGTTTGTAGAGTTTATAATAATGGACCATAATAATGACAATTCAACTTGTGAAGGTTTAATGTGTTTGTGACTTAACTAAGTATCACTATCCCACAATATTGTGAAGTTCATGTCATCACTTAATCTCAATAAATAAAAAAAGTGTGGAAGTACTCAGCTACTTTTTTCTGAATAGGTTGTCAAGGCCTCTACTACATCCCAATTATGTGTAGGACAGAGGAGCTAGAACAAAAAGTCAGAAGTATGGAAAAAACAGTCAGAACCTACCAAAGAGAAGTCTAGAAGTTGGCAAATGCGCTAAGAAATCAAACCTACAGTCCAGCTTTCTCCCATCCAAGTGTTAACCAGGCCCGACCCTGCTTAGTTTCCGAGATCAGACAAGATCGGGCGCGTTCAGGGTGGTATGGCCATAGACCAGACCAGCTTTCTATGTCAATCTAATCTTTGGATTTTTTTCCCTCTCTGTCTCTCTCTGACCTCCTTATTTGCCCATTTCCTCTTGGGACACTAAAGCTAGGGGTTGGCTGCTAGTTTGTACCCTAACAACAATGGCAGCCTCCTTAGACTTTGCCTTTCCCTATTATGATTCATAGACTGTTCACTGAGTAGATGAGGTCAGAATATTTTCTATTTTCCTGCAAGTCCTGGAAGAAATATTAGTTCTTTTTCTTTCTTTCTCTGAATCTCCTTCTCTATTTAAGCACTGGTTGGTGTCTCAGTCACTTCCTAGTGTATTCTCAGTCACTAAATAATGACCACTGTTATATCCTTAGCTGCCTGGCTCATCTAGGCTTTGAAGACTGCAGTAACTAGTGGTCAGCAAAGCACTGTACCCACCACAAAATTCCCTGCACTTCCCAAGGTAACTCATTAGACCAGAGGCAAGCAACTCACCCATGGGCAGAAACTCAAAGGAATCAAATGTCTTACCTGGCTTATAGCCTATGAAGTAACCTGACACCAAAAAGCAGTGTTCTAGTCTGGTCAGAAAATGATTAACTAGGCCTGACAGAATTCGTTGAGGAACTCATTTACAGATGTGGAAAAATGCCACTAGTAGCTGAAGTCAAGCTCAAGAAAGAAGGTGTATGGACCATTGGAAGCTGACAGTAATGAAGGCTTTTTTTAGGAACAAGCATCAGGAAGAAAGCATCTGGATTTCTAGAGATACTAGATGGATAATTAGGTTGGTGGATATGTTCCATATCCAGTACTATTGGGGATCTAAGAATGTCCTTTTCCTTTGCATTTGATAAAGGCCAAAGACTCATAATTCAGAATATTTACTATGATCTGTGTTGACAAATGCTTCTCCATCCATCACGTTCCCCACAACGTCCCCCCTTCCCTGGGAAAACACCATACAAATCTCTGTTACATGTCAAGTCTGTCTCCAGTTCAGTTGAGACAAGCAACCTCATGTATGACCATTTTGGCCTCAGGATCCCATGTGATGGATGTGGTGGAATAGAATAGAAGAATCAGTGTGGGGAGACATACAGTTTCTACCTCGATGTGTCTGGTTTGGCTCCCATGTATTTATTAGAAAAGAAATTGAGCTCATTCCTAATGCATGAAAGAAAGATTTCCTCTATAGGCTTCTAGATATCTAGGTTCTTTTGAAAACCCTGACTCTTCTCTGACAGGTTGGGGATCCTCTCCCTTGCCTGTACTCACTAGTCAGAGCTGCACTGGATCCAGTCGACCCATTTTATTTGAATGTAGCCTTTCCTTTATTCCCTCCCTGGCTTTTAGTAGTCACATAGAAAGCTTATCTTACACCCTGAAGCCATTTGAACATGGAACAGTTAGACATTATTTAAATGTCTATGTGAAAAATGAACTATGTAACTTGTGGGCAGGATGGAAAGAGGAAACTAAGGGAAAGCACAGGAAGCAGTGACACTGTCCATAAAAAAGAAACATATTCATTACTGAATTTATGAATTGGTAAGCCCTTTAACACCTTAATAACCACAATAAAATTATATTAAGAATAAGAAGTTATTTAACAAGTGCTTAAGATGGGACCCAGTACAGGCACCACTGAATTTGATAAGACAAGAATCTGTTCCCTTCGGTGAAGCCAACATGAAAGGAAAGAATAAAGATGATCATAGTCATGTTGGATATTAGAAATTTAAAGTTCTGACCCATGAGTTGCAGGAGAGAGGTGGGGCAGTTTTAGAAATCTAAAGCAATGTCTGTTGATAGTCGCATCAGAGACCTGTGAAAGAGGGCTGAAAAAGAAAGTGAAGTTGCTGATAAAAAGGAGAAAATAAATGTCCAAAAGGCAGTGTATATCTATGATAATCCTTAAGAAAATGAAGAATTTTAATTACATATAGGCAGTTAGCTTTCCAGTGTTAGAGAAAACACATGGTGCTCCCCAGAAATTTCTGAACTCTTTTGTCCACTTTTTAGTTTTTATCTCTTAAAGCTGTCAGGGAGAAAAGATCAATCACCTAAAAACCAATCAGGATAACTAGATTTCTTAGCTGAGACCATGAAAGCAAGAAGAGCCTGGAATAAAATATGCCACGCCCTAAAGACAAACAATTATCAACCAAAAATAGAGTACCCAGCTAACTCTCCTTCATAACTGAGGGAAAAATGAAAACCTTCCACAGCAAAGAAAAACTGAAACAATATATCTCCACCAAACCGACACTACAAAAGCTACGTAAAGATTTCCTACACATAGAGAACCAACTAGAACATGATGAAGACAGAGAAACATCCCCCAAACAATCAATCAGTAAACATAGGCAGAACCTAGGTGACATAGCCCCCAAGAAGGTGGATAACATGGCAGGAGCTACCAAACACCTATGAATCCTAACTCTCAATATTAATGAACTTAACTCTCCAATCAAACGACATAGAATCTCTAAAAAAAACCCCCATGATCTGTCTATCTGCTGTCTTCAAAAAACTCACATTCCCTACAAAAACAAACATGTTCTGACAGTGAAAGTTGGAATAAAACCTACCAGGCAAACAGCCTCCATAAACAGGCTAGAGTAGCAATCCTAATATCAGATAAAATAGACTTCAAATTAAAATTAGTGAGAAGAAATAAAGAAGAACACTACAAACTAATAAAAGGATCTTTCTCACAGGAGGATATAACAATTCTAAATATCTATTCACCAAATACCAGAGCACCCAATTTTATCCAAGAAACATACTTTCCCTCAAATCTCACATAGATCCAAAGACATTGGTGACTTTATTGGTGACTTTAACACCACTTTCCCCACTGGATAGATAAACTTGGCAAAAACTCAACAGAGAAACAACAAATCTAAATAAATGCCTAGACCAATTAGACTTAACTGATGTTTATAGGATATTTCACCCATCAGCAACAGAATACACATTCGTCTCAGCAGCACATGGAATGTTCTCCAAAATAGACCACATTTTAGATCACAAAGCAAATCTCTCCAAATACAGAAACACTGAAATTATGCCCTGCATTCTCTCAGACCACAAGGGAATAAAATTAGAATTCAACAACAAATGCCACCAAGGAAAATGCTGTAACACATGGAGGCTGAACAACACACTATTGAACCATGGAAGAGATTAGAAAGGAAATTAAAATGTTCATGATATTTAAACAAAAATGAACATATAAATTACCAGCTCCTCTGGGACACAGCAAAGGCAGTACTCAGAGGAAAATTCATAGCTCTGAGTTCTTACATCAATAAATTGGAGAGATCTGAAACCAACAATTTAATGATGCACCTGAAGCTCCTTGAAAAGGAGTAGCAAGCCAAACCCCAATCCAGTAGACAGAAACAAATAATTAAAATTAAATCAGAATTAAGTGAATTAGATTCCAAAAAAAACATAGAAAGAAGTAACAAAACAAAGACTTGTTTCTTCAAAAAACTTAACAAACTTGAAAAACCCTTTGCAAATCTTACCAAAGAAGAGAACATACCCAAATAAGCAAACTCAGAGATGAGAATGGAAACATCACCACAGAAACAACCAAGATTCAGAACATTATAAGGAAATACTTCTCAAAAATTTATGCTAATATGTTTGAGAATCTGGATGAAATGGACAAATTTCTAGCAAATACTGATATGCCCAAACTAAACCAAGATGAGTTAAGTCAATTTAACAGACCCATATCAAGCATCGAAGTAGAAACAGCAATAAGAGACTTCCCATCGGTTCCTCAAAAGACTTCACATAGAACTCCCCTATGACCCAGCAATCCCACTTTTGGGCATTTACCCTAATGTTTACAAAAAAGACCACACTAAAGCTACCAGCACAACTACGTTTATTGCAGCATTATTTACCATAGCTAAGATATGGAACCAACCCAGATGCCCCTCAGTAGATGAATGGATCAAGAAAATGTGGTATATATACACAATGGAATTCTATGCCTCCATCAGAAAGAATGACATTTCCCCATTTGTTAGGAAATGGAAAGGCTTGGAAAAAATTATATTAAGTGAAGTAAGCCAGGCCCAAAGAAACATAGGTCCCATGGTTTCCCTTATTTGCAATATGTAGTATAGGTATGAGTCAAGCGGAAAAGGTCAGATAATGTGATGTTAGGAAAACGAACCCTTAAATATGTATTTTAATGTTTTTGTTTCTTTCATGCATGTGTTTCTAATGCATTTATAAGATTATTTCTTTGTTGCTTTGTATGTCCCTCCCCCACAGTATAACCCCCGCCTTCACTATATTTGATGTCAGTATAACATGTGGAGGAGATGGGGACAAACAAGTCGTTTAAGGATTCAGGTGG